CAAAAAGGCTAATTCTTTTTGAGTGAGAGTTATAAAAATACCGAGGAAAATAAATTATTTCTCCCTTTGGGAAACACAGCATGAAATAGTTTACCACCAAGCCAAAGCTGATAGAGTCTATGTTTCCAATCAACTTTTTTTTGGTAGGAAATGCTATTTGTAATTTATTATTTATGCTCCTTATGTCTTAAAAAGCAGGTTCCAGTGTCATTTTGCTTGGGTATACATAAAAGAAAGATGAGAGAACCTACTATACAGTGACCTTTATCTTAATACAATATTACCAGAACACTGAAAAATTTAGAGTTTTCAAAAAGAGTAGAGAGAAATCCATTTTCAAAGCTTGAATCAGTAAATGTTAAAAAAAAAATCTTTACAAATAACATTATTCTTCCCATCAGGTGACACATGTGGATCAATTTACATTTGAATATAGTGATCAGAAAAGATTAAGAAGGGACACATGTTTTGCAACTATATAGTGTGAGATAGAGTAACTGTTTTGACCCACCGGGTGGTCATTGTAGCACTGGGATGGGATGAAATCCAAGATGACCCTGGTTAGGAAGGGGGATGAAGAAGAGGGGAAAGCAAGATGGAAATGAGCAAAGTGTGTCATCTTTAAGGATCCATCTTTAAGGATCCAAAGAGTACTCCTTACCTGAACTTTGAGTGCTTCTTTAACTAAAAGGAAGAGATCAACACATAAACAAGAAGAAACTAAGGCATTTTAAAGGAACTCTAACCATTTTATCCTGTGGGTTTAATTAGGATCTGACCAATTATGTCATCCACCAAAAATGTATTGAATGTCTGTTATATGACTCACATGGTGCTGGGGTTGGGAAGAGCAGAAAACACTGTTCTTAACCTCAAAGAGTTCGCATTCCAGTGGGAGAGATAGGTGGTTACACATTCTGTTATTGCATTGTGATCAAGGCACTGAGGTGGTGAAGAGCTTAGATTCTGCAGTCAAACTTCCTGGATATGAATACTATTTCTACTTTAGAGCTGTGTGATGTTGGGTAAGCTATCTTACACTTCGGTGCTTCAGTTTCTTTATCTTTAAAACAGTGCTAATTAAAGTATCATCATCATATTGTTGTTATGAAATGAAATAAGTTGTAATACACATAAAGGTCTTAATAATATCGGCTTGCGATTTATGTTCCTGTTGAATGATGTATGTAGCATGCTGTGGGAACATAGAGGAAAGGTATGAGACTCAGCCCAGGATGCAGCATAGAATAGGGCTTTCCAGTTGAGATGAGATTTAAATGGGGCTTTGAAATAGTCTAGTAGGACTTACACAGGCATGCAATGGTGAGAAAGTGTAAGACACCATTGCAAACACGCAGGGAAGAGATATCACTTAGAGTTTGGATACTTGGAGAAGTCATTGTAGAGAACTGAGACTATAGTAGGGAATTTAGATTTTTAACTTGAAGACTCTCCTGTTTTTATCTTCATGCATGCTGGTCATCTCTTTCTCTGTTTTATTCAATAGGCTTACATCCGCAGCCATTAATTTCTTCACCTCTATTCAATTCTACACTTGGCTACAAGGTAATTTTGTTCAAAAAACACATTTAACTAGGTCATCTCTATGTACAACATGAATTTTATCCCTTGTTATTCTTTAGACCAAATTTAACTGTTTTGGCCTGGTATTCAAGTTCTTCTCTCTGCTGTCCAAAACACATGTAAAAATTTACCTCTCTTATTACAATAGCATTCTAGTAACATCCAGTGTCCTGTTCCTATCTCCCACTTCTTTTTTCAAATTTCATACTAATCTCTGATCTTGCTCAAGAAGTTTCCTGTTTGGAATTTTAATATATCCAGATCAATTTGAATTTTTTTCCTTAAGAATAGCCTCAATTTTGAACACACTGAAGAAAAAGAAAATTTGTTTAACCAAATCTCACACATGTTGATATGCTTCTGGCACCACAGTGCCTTAGTGTTCAGCTTCACAATCACATACTTTACTTTAAACTGCTCTTTCCCTTCATTCTCTTTCCATATTGTTCATACGTTACTTGTGAGTGGAGGTTTGGCTTTCTAGGTATCTTACTTTCCAGTGTATGTACATCTGTAGTATCTTGTACAACAAATAACCCCCAAATGTTTGTTGGATGAATATATTATATGTAAAAATATATAAAACTTTCTTAATAACATGCCAAGAAAATTATGTGAAAGTTCCATATATCTTTTGAAATTAGTTACTTGTTTCTTGCGAGCTAAATAGAAGAGAATCAAAATTATATTATGGCTTATATTTACTTAGGTATATATAGTTCACATAGACAGGTAGAACACTTATAAAAAGTATTGGAATTCTTTCAACTGAGTGACTGTTAAAGATGAACTTCCATTATAAAATGTAGGTGAAGACATAGAGGAATTGTGAACTTAGAGTAAACCACTGGACATTAGAGTTTAGGAGGAAGGGAACAACCATTTAGTCAATATCTATGGTGTGCCAATCATCACAGCCTGCTATTTTCTTCATAAATTATCTAAGTAACTCTTTCTAATATCTCCTCCCAAGAAAAGTAATTATTATTATGGCCATTTTATAGCCAATGCCACCATGGCTCAAAAACTTAAGGAGTCCTTTCAAAATCTTACATCTATGTGATGAATTTGGGATTTAAATCTATATCTATCTGACTCTTGAGCCCAAGTTCTCTGAGAGGTTTTTAGAATGGCAGTATTTAGAGGCAGGTTAAATAAATTGACAATTTTGGACAAGTAACAAACTTTTTTGGTCCTAGTTCTTCATTGTTATGAGCTTGCCCTAGATAATTTCTATAGATTTTATAACTCCAAATACTTGTGAAAAGAGGCAACTGTTTTCTTTCATTCTGTTTTTTGAAAATCACATTTAAAAATCTTATGGCATGGAAAGGTGGAAAAGTTATGCACATCAATGGGTTGTATATTGACTATAGCAGGGACATATAATTAGAGTGAAGTGTTTGTGAACTTTTTCTTTATATTGAAATAGATATTATCTTTGTAAAATAAAAATCTAATAAATGGAGGAAAAACTATCATTTTGAGTAGTGATTTGATTAAATTCAAATAACCAGTCTCTTATTTATTGAATATTGATGACAAATGTATGTAAATCTTAAATTTTACTCAATGTACTTTTTTGCTTGGGTAACGCTATTCTACAGTATCTCTTTGCACTCAACTCTCAACTAGTATGCATGTTAGAGAAGAGTAACATGATTCTAGTGCCATGTCTAGAATACAATTGTGTTGAGTACTTGCATTTACTTTCATTACCCTAAAAGTGAAAATAGCTAATGTCAAAATATACTTACTATTTTAGAGACCATAAAGCTGTTAATAAATGTACTATACTATTTATTAACTATCATTTGATATAAATAATGGTAATTTTACTAGACTTTCAAGTCCTTTACTTCTGAATATTGTGCAACAAATTATGATAATATATGAAAGAGAATAGTCTGGAATAACATTTATGTATAAGAAAGTTAAATATGATAATTATTAAAATTTCCTTCATGTCCTAAGGAATCTAGTTAAAGTGACTGGGTATTCTTGAGTAAACTACAATGAGTTTGAACCCATAACCGGAATGGACTGAGTGCAATGAAATACCAATACATAGAATACTCTAATCATGATCAGTTTAAGCGTTTTTTCCCCATATTGATTTCTTTTACCATTTGACTATTGTAGAGAAGGAAGTTGGGTTAGTGCTAATAACTGAACGTTCTTCTCTCAGTCACACTGAAAACTAGCTATATCTTCTCTTGCTTAGGAGGTTCTGAGCACCTTTCACAGAACTTGGTTAGATGAAATGAAAATCTTTCATATCAAGCCATCAGTATGACAGACACTCCAAGGCACAAACTGCCATTACATTTAAGGAGAACATTTTGATATATGAATTTATACCCTCAGGGTTCAGGTCTGGCTTGTAGGACATCCTAATTAAAACTAGTCATTTGAGAAAAGAGACTCAAAGCAGAGATAAAAATTAACTCCAAATTACTTAAAAATATAGGCATATAAAATACATATGAAATACTAAGGACACTGGAAAAAATAGTCTTTTTTTTTTCTCTACCTTTGACAATAGAGTATGACAAAAATCCAGTTCTCTTTGGGGTCTTGCAAACAAAAAAAAAAATCTAATAAGCAGAGAACAAAATGGGAATGGTGCTCTACAACAAGTAGCCCCAATGCATATTCTTAATATATAGACCACAGCTCAGAGGTGTGTCCCAGTGGCACTTGCATTTCCACACACTAAACATAATTCTAGACTATAGTTAAATGACTCCAAATACAGGCTAATCAGGCATACCCACATAAAAAAAATCACAATATTTAAACATTAACTTTAAATAAACACATACACTACAAAAAAATTCCTCAGAAAACATTTTGTAATAACACAGAAGAAATGCTTAAGGGAAAAAAAAAAAAAGGTGTTAAGCATGCCCAAAATACTTCTGAGGGAAGAGATTATTATGAAACCTTAAAGATATTGATCAATAAGCCAATTGGTTATTTATTGACCACAGTGGTACTTAGGCTAAGTCAATTATCATATTGTTTCACTTACTTGTGGAGTATAAGGAATAACATGGAGGACCTTAGGAGAAGGAAAGGAAAAGTGAACTGGGGGAAATTGGAGGGGGAGATGAAGCATGAGAGACTGTGGACTCTGAGAAACAACCTGAGGTTTTTGGTAGGGAGGTGGTAGGGGAATGGGGGGCCCTGCTGGTGGGTATTAAGGAGGGCACGTATTGCATGGAGCACTGGATGTGGTGCATAAACAATGAATCTTGGAACACTATAAAAAAATAAAATTAAATTTAAAAAATTTTTAAAAATCAAAGGGAAATTTAAAAATAAGTTTTTCCAAATTTAATTTTAATGTAGTAATCTACTAAGTATGTCATGTGAAAAGTTAGTATTCAATAAATATGGAGGGTAACTCATACCTTAAATTCCTCCAAGATTTTGTAATTTTTCCCATGATATTCACAAAAGTTTTTCACTTCTTTGCACTCAGGACAGCATCCATTGTGTTCCACTTTAGTACACTTTGGGTGAATTTTAGGGCATTCTGGCTGATCACAAACAGGTCCATCCAGAGCACAGACACATGGACAGTTGGAATGCCCTGGGAAAAATCGTTCTCCCAACTTGTATACAAAGCCGCTGTCATCCACACACCCTTTCCCTCGATAGTCATCAAAGATCAGATTGTCATTACTGGAGGTCTGGTCACCTTCATCAGCAGGATAGTCTTCATGACTGATGGCAGCAGAGGTGACCAATCCAAGGATGACCAACAGAAGTATGCAAGCTTCATGAATATGAAGAGCCATCCCCCTCCTCAAAGGCTTCTGGATGTGCTCCTATTATTAAATATACTCAGCTCCTTCCATGGGAATACAAGAAGGGTAGGCTGAAAATAAATATTTAAAAAAGAACAATTTGACATATATAAAGAGAATATGGATTTATGTAAGCCCATGTTCTTAACCTGTTTATTTGAGACCTATCTGGAAGACACTAAGAGCTTAGATAGATTAAGTTCATGCAAATATCTACACTTTATTATGAAGTTTGGAGAGTTTATTCTTGGCAGTATATGCATTAAAATTTGTCCTTTATTTCACTTAGGAATCTTAAACTCCAATTTACCTTCTGCATTTCTAAGGTCTGGCTTTGTCTAAACTAAGAAGTGGTTTTACTAAGCCTCAAAAGGTAATTAAAAGTAGTTACAAATGGCTCAAGAATGTTTGAATTCAAATTCTCTGTTATTCTTTATCACTAAATTGGTGATAGAATATATATGCTATAATTATCTGTATAAAAACTATGAGATTAGTGAGAAAACGTCTACTTCTAAAAGGGAGGAGACCAATAGTTGGATATAAATTATAATTGAGATGAGCTAGTACAAAGGCCTTTCTACTTCTTTACTTCCATAACTGGAGAACAACAATGGTCTCAAATGGGTTACTTTTTTCAGAAAACATAAATCTGGATTTTGAGACATAGATAGGAAGAAAAATAGTGCAACCATTTTACAGCGACTAAGAGATAAATTTAATAAATAGTACAAGAGAATTCCATATATTGAACATAATTTATTAAAAATAAATTTATTTGTCTCATTGTCCATAACTTTATTTTACTCAGGAAGTAAGCTCCTAGTGGGCAGGAAAGATGTACCTGTGATTTTTTTTTTTTTAATGGCAACTTGAATCTAGTGTTCATGGACTACCACTTGAATTAATTACTTCAATATAAAATATATACCATTCATATTGTCTTGAGAACATATCTTTCTTTTGACATCCCAAACATATTTGCATTTAGTCAATTTTCACAAAAATGCCAATATAAAACTGTTTATTGAAATTCCTTAAAAAGATAATGTTGTATTGCCATTCACAGAAAATATGTCTGATTAATTTGGTGACATTGAATCTTATAAGCTTCATTTAGTGTTAGTAGTTGGTGTGGAGTATTGGTAGTGGGCTTTTATTTAAATGTTGAGAGTGACTAACTTATACAAATGCTCTGGGGAAACTGTGACTTTAGAGAGTAATAGATAAGAAAAAGTGTTGTCAGATAGTTCATTTGTCTATTTAAATGCTATTGGCTTTATGCCAATATTGCTTAGATTGTGTATAGGATATTTTCAGATAATTTATGTTATTTGTTGGTATATTTTCAGAATATAATGAATAATGATAAATCATCCCTTTTCAGTATAACATATACAAAGGATAATTCAAAAACAAGGTAAAGATGGCTTAAGGACACTTCATCAACTATTATGTTTGCATTTTAAGTAACATATGCAAATTATCTTATGCAAAGTAATAGTAAAATGGAAGGTAGTATATTTATGCCTTCCTTTAAGAGAAAACTGCTCTCTGATATTAGAATTCCTTTTGGGTAGGTAATGATAAAAGAGATAGATATATTTTAAAATATGTCAAAAATAATGAGTCATGACAGAACAAAAAAAATGCAAACCTATAATTCTACTTGAGAAGCTGGAAACTCCCTTTGACAAAGCATTTTTTTTTCTCTTAAATTACTACAGAGGCCACAAACAGAAGCTTCTGAAAAAAGCATAAATATATTTTTACTGATTAAGCTATGTATTATAAATCTCTCACATATTTAGAAAGTTTATTTGGAAGAAATGAAGCTATTGTGCTTCCTTATAGTATTCCAGTAGTGCTTGCCAGTACATGCAAGATATGCCATATGAAATACACATTTCATTCTGCTTCAAAAGGACAGAGACTGAAATTGATCTCTTTGCAAGCTACAGGTAGGCATTAATATATTGTATCGGGTTGTGGTAAATGTAAACCTAAAGGTAAAAATAGGGGTGTAATGTGTACTTTATATAAACCTTAAATATGTTTTTATTATATGAAATAAAATTTAAAATCTGCATGGAGAAAACAAGGTTTTCTTTTTAATAAAACAAAGTTCTTCAGTTATTAAAAAATCCCTTTTCATAATTGAGCTGCTCCAGTGTAGTTAAAAACACTATTTAAGAGAAGAAAGGTTAGAGAAATGAAATAAAAATGTTTATCTGAAGATTTTCAATAAGTAAGCAAACACTGCTAAACTGAGGATCACTTTCTAGCTAAACTTTCCCCCCTCCCCATATTGCTACATATGATTTAAAATGACTGCATCTATTTCTTTGAGAAAACAAACATAACTCATGTCATAAGATACACTTACCTAATCAGTCTGGAGGTTAATGGTGGTGGTGGGAGTCATAGACCAATATGAACTAAAAGATCAGGTATGTTTTAGGAAAGCAGTTCCTCTTTAATTATCCAAAGAATACATTTTCAGGCATGAATTAAAGGTAATCCATTCTCTCTACCTCCCATTTCAAAACACAGTCAAGAAGCAGTCTCCCGCCCTTCCAGAGAGAAACACAGCAGACACACATAAGAAATATGCTTTGGACTTGTCTTCAGAATTCAAAGCAAGAAGCAATGCTGGTCCTGTAGAAATCCAGACCCCAGTAGAATCATGTTGAACTTATTTTTAGCATTTTCTCAGATCCTTCTATGAAATTTACCGGCTGATTACGCCTCCTCCACACATGAGTTCACTTACACAGTGTTTGGTACGGCAGTAGAGGTGATTTGGCTAGGCTCTGAGGATCACAAACAGCAATAGCATACTGTAGCTTAAAGCCCACTCCGTGGCAGTACCATCAGCATCATCCACAATATGTTGCTTGAATCCCCTCTTACACACCAGAAAATACTAACTGTGGATGTGAAGGAAAGGAGCAACTTTAGCTGGGTTTCTGCATCACTGAGAGCAGTTTGCAGACTGCTGATTTGGAGCTCATTCGCCGGCAGCCGGGAATTCCTCAGCACCACGGACAGCGCCAACAACTGGCTTCTGAGCCCAGCTCGGTCGAAATCCGGAGCTGCTTCTTTAGAGGAGGCTAGAGTGTTCTCTAAAGCAGTCGCACTTTATACAGCTGATGCATGCATTAGGAGTGGGAAAGACATTTTACATGCGAGATACTTATTGGCATTGAAATTAAAATAAAAAATACAAAACACTGTAATTATACCTAATGCATTCTTAGATGGGCTGCAGAGATGAAAGTTCTGGAAGAGCATTGCATCTAGATTTAAGCCATCTGCAGTCTTGATTATTATTAATAGATAAAACATAATCATTGTCAAAGAATCTCTGAAACTGTATGCTCCCCGCTTCTATTCGACCCTTTGGTTGCAGAAAGACTTTCTCCATGCTACACGATTAAACTTCAGGTCTTCCTGCAGCTTGGATTTGATTAAAAAAAAAAAAAAAAAAAAAAAAAAAAAAAAACAGGAGTAGCCCTGTTCTGCAGTTTGTTCTCTAACATTCAAAATCAATCTCCTGTAATTCATCTAGTCTGTCATTAGGCGTCATTGTAAAGCTGTTTCTTTCAAAGCCCTAGCAAAGATGTTCTGTCTCTAAATTCTTATCAAAATGAAAAAGAAAAAAAGACCCAGACACAAATAAATGAGCAAGAAGTTTTTTTTTTTTTTTTTTTTTTTTTTATTGGTAACAGTTTGAGCACTAAAATACATGTCCAAAGCATGTTTTAAAGCAAATTGTAAATGTTACCTGCTGGCATATTTAACCAGATAGTTCCTGGTTTGGGACTGACTACGTAAGGTATTTTCAAACCTTAAAGGGGATGCCGTCCATAGTTGGATACGCTGACCTCAAGACCACGTTCGAACAGTGCCATCAGAGCCTCCGGAAAACAAATACTCTCCGTCATGAGAAAACACGACTGTGTGAGCCTCACTCTCGTGGCCCATCATTTTGTGAATCTGCCCTGATTTAAGATCTAGCAAATGGATAACCCCACTGCCACTCGCCTGAGCTAAAACTCGACCTGAGAGAGAGAGAGAGAGAGAGAGAGGGAGAGAGAATATCAAAGTTTAATTTCAAGCAGACACAGTTTCTAAGCAATGAAATAAACAATTTAGTTTCAATTGTAATTCTAGAGACTCACATAAGATGTCAGTCATTAAATATAAGCTAACTCTCATTTGTATAGGAAATAATTCCAGTCAAAATTAAGACATGTCAATGATTATAAAATTTTAAAATAAGGAAGTAAAGGCTAATACCCTACCTACTTTATCAAATGCCCTTCTAGTTTCCTTATATTTGGAATTAATAAATAATTTTGAGAAGATGAGGGTGAAAACAACTAAGCAATGCAGGTTTCTTTTTCAACTGAATTATTTGTAAAAAAAAAATCCAAAGCATAGGTTTAAAATCTATGTCCCTATATAATGGATAATTTACATGTTAAATTTTGCATTATACTTTAACTTGTTATAATTATGCTAAATCTTTACTTAGTTATAATAATATACATTTATGCTTTAAAATTTATGACACTTATGAACTTTTTTTGGAGTGGAAGTGAAAATAAATACCTCCAGTTCAAGAATGACTTGGGGTTTTTACTCTAATTTAAAATTCAAAATTCTGTTAAACTAAATTTATATTACATAAGAGCTAAATATAGTAGAGTATTCTCATAATTTTTATACTGTATAACTTTTAGTGAATAATTTCCTTCAAGTGAAAAATATATCATCAATCCAATTCTAATGCTTTTATTAAAGAGGTCTGATAACAAACTATCAGGGAATTTAGAGGTAAGTAAAAATAATGGAATATGTTTACATAAAGTCAGTATGTGGGGCAAAAGCTCAATAATAGGACTACCTATGGGATTATCTAATCATACTTAGAAGGCATATTATCATTCCAGTAATAATACTTAAAATTGATTTCCCAATAATCTAGATACTAGATTTTGTACCTGATGTGAATAATTCCATATAATACTTATAAGAGCTAAGGATAAAATAATATTAACTTCATTATATGGGTGAACAAAGAGAGGTTTAGAAAGGTGAAGGAGCTTGCTCAAGAGGAAGTATGCATGGTATGGAGGATGGAGGGAGGTATCATTAAATCACAATCACTTTGAATCCAGAGCCTGGATTTTTAGTCATTGTGTTTTCCACATACAGCATGGTATTGTTATCAATGATGCCCTCCTGACAGATTTTAAGTGGGTGATATATTGTGAAAACAAAATTTGTTTCACAGTAAAAATTCTTTAATGATGTTGTCATAAAAGTCACAGTAAAATATTTAATCACAAATTATACCCCAAAATATCATGAATATTTTGAAAACAGGGAACAGTTATAAAAGTAAAGCTAACCATGATAAATATGGCCTATTTGCAAACCTTTGTAACTACTGGGTTTCTTCATCTAGAACAAAACCTGACACAGCAAAGATCCTTAGGATGGATTAGAGTGTCCAAAGAAGTAGATGTGAATATTTATTATAAACCTTCTTCTACTAAGTCTTTGCTGACAGAAGCATTACATATGGATTCCACTTCTGGACTCATTCTATAGGCAATTGTTGCTTGTGACTTTCCTAAGAGTCAAACAAATACCTTTTTTTGTAGTCTTCATACAACAGACAGGAAAGGGGTAAATATTATTTTCTATTTTTGAAATGAAACAGAGTCAAAGCTCATAAAGAAAAAGGAAAAGATTTAGCTTTAAACCATTATCTTTTGTTGAAGTCAAATCAGTAAAAATAATAATTGGAAAAGTTTATGAAGATTCTTGGTAATTTCTGAAAGTTCAATGAAATAAAGAATATGATATTAGAACCTAATGATAGGGTTATAAAATTCAGCAGCACCATGCCTCAGGTGTTTCAAAAATTTGTCTTTGATAGAACAGATTTTAGTAAGTTTATGATGATGTTTTTCAGGTTTACTTGGATTCATTTACAGAAGATTGCAAGATTGTGATTATATGTATAACTTATTCCTAAAACATGTATAAATTTATAATCATGTTCAACTTCATTTAAAGTATATGGGATTATTATATGGCATACAATGTCTGACCTAAAATTAGCTTTAATGGGAATTGAGATGCTAAACCCTTTCTAGGCTAGAAGATTTTCAGAATTACTTACTAGGATGGGTCAACTACCACATTACTATCTAGTTGGTACGAGAGAGGTGGCACTCTCAAAAAAAAATTATAGTATGATTAGTGGTAGCATCTCCAGAGAGTGGAGTATTTACAGACATGTGTATAGGTATCTCTCTAAATATCCTGGTGATTGGCAATGAAAAATAAATCAGAATATAAATCATTTGTCATCCCAATTCAGAGTCTTGATGACAAATTTAGGAAGAGCATTTATCTACTACTTGGTCAATGGAATAAAAATATGTAGAGACAAAATTTTTAGCAGTACTGAGAGAATTTATAAAAACTTGTGCTAATGCTTATGTTAAAGTTAATATGCCTCCTTAAAAATATGAAATAAGAAAAAAATAAGTGATAAATTATATATTTATACTTCAAATATTTTGTTAAAATATTATAACACAATTTAACCAAAACAATTGTCTTGTAACATGTAATTCCTGAATAGATTATTTAAAATGTCATTTAGCCTACCCAGAGTAATCTATACTTTCAACGCCATCCTAATCAAAACACCATCAGCATTTTTCAAAGTGCTGGAACAAACAATCCTAAAATTTGTATGGAACAAGAAAAGACCCTGAATCACCAAGGAAATGTTGAAAAAGTAAAACAAAGTTGGGGGCATCACATTGCCGATTTCAAGCTTTATTACAAAGCTGTGATCACCAAGACAGCATGGTACTGGCACAAAAACAGAGACATAGACGAGTGGAACACAATAGAGAACCCAGATATGGACCCTCAATTCTATGGTCAAATAACTTTGACAAAGCAGGAAAAAATATCCAATGGAAAAAGACAGTCTTTTCAATTAATAGTGTTGGGAAAATTGGACAGCTATATACAGAAGAATGAAACTTGACCATTCTCTTACACAAAGATAAACTCAAAATCAATGAAAGACCTCAATGTGAGACAGGAATTCATCAAAACCCTAGAGGAGAACATAGGCAGTAATTTCTTCAACATCAGCTGCAGAAATTTCTTTCAAGACATGTCTCCAAGGACAAGGGAAACAAAAGTGAGAAGTTTTTGATCTTGATCAAAATCAAAAGTTTCTGCACAGCAAATGAAACAGTCAACAAAACAAAGAGGCAACCCACAGAATGGAAGAAGATATTTGCATATGACATTACAGACAAAGGGCTGATATACAAGATTTATAAAGAACTTCTCAAACTCAACACCCAAAAAACAAAAAAGTAAAAAAATGGGCAGAATACATGAACAGACACTTCTCAAAAGTAGATATACAAATGGCTAACAGACACATGAAAAAATATTCATCATTATTAGCCATCGGGGAGATTCAAATCAAAACCACATTGAGAAACCACCTTACACCAGTTAGAATGGCCAAAATCAACAAGACAGTAAACAACAAGTGTTGGAGGGGTTGTGGAGAAAGAAGAACCCTCTTACACTGTTGGTGAGAATGCAGAGTTGTGCAGCCACTTTGGAAAACAGTGTGGAGCTTCCTCAAAAAAAATTAAAAATAGAGCTACCATATGACCTAGCAATTGCACTGCTGAGTATTTACCCCAAAGATACAGATGTAGTGAAAAGAAGGGCCATATGCACCCCAATGTTCAGAGCAGGAATGTTCACAATTGCCAAACTGTAGAAAGAGTCAAGATGCCCTTCAACAGATGAATGGATAAAGAAGACGGGGTTCATATATACAATGGAATATTACTCAGCTGTGAGAAAGGATGAATATCTAACTTTTGCATCAACATGGATGGAACTGGAGGAAATTATGCTGAGTGAATTAAGTTAAGTAGAGAAAGTCAATTAGCATATGGTTTCATTTACTTGTGGAACATAAGGGGTAGAATGAAGGACATTAGGAGA